GTGCTAAAGGTACGCCCCATGGCTTTCCCTTTAGTCGCACGTTGGACAATGTAGATAAGGTTGACGGTAAACATTTGGGTCTATAAACACTATGCTTTTGTATTATGAATTACCGGTGGAAGATGCTGGCATTCCCACCAAACTAGGGTTGAATTATTCTTTTGTGGCTTGCGAAAACACAGGCTGGTTTTAAGATAATTGCTGCATTTTCCTTCTCCTTTCCCACCGACCTCCTTATTGGGAATAAGATATGAAACGTTTACATTCTTATTGGATTGCCTAAGATTTCACGCTGATTCCTCTAAATAAAACTAAAATAACTAGCCCCACCTATACGGTCAAAGTTCCCACTACACTACATTTTCAGTAATCATGCACCAGATGTGTCCCATTGCTTTGCTTGTAAGTCCCTTGAGGGTGCTGTCTTTGAGTCTCCCACGTGGGCTTGGCATGCTACCTCTTTTTTAATAGCAAGAGAGAGATGGCATCTGACAGAGCAAAAAAGTACAATACTGGGTGAGTGCGTTGAGTCACAATTTAAATGTTTAATAAAAATTTGCCATATCTCTTTAACCCTGCTGAATTTCCTTCAGGGCCTGGGATTTTGCTGATTTTTCATAACTTATTTACAGGATACTGTGGAGTGCTTTGTGTATTTTTAGAGAGCGCTATAATAGTTAATTTGCTAATTCATGAATGCAGCTGTAACTGAGAAAACTGGGACCCAGAAAAGATAACTGGATTTTCTTTCGTTGAAATGAAATTCAGATCATTGCTGAATTGAATTCATCATCTCTCTTTTCTCCTTCCCTTTCATCCCTACTTCTTTGTCTTCCTATGGTCTTTACCTCACCACCAGGTCACCCAAGGGACAGTCATCCTAGATGCCTTCTTTTTCTTACCCACAACCAAGTCCTTTTGATTCTAACTCTTATCTATCTTCTCATCCTATCCCCTGATTCATTTAGGGCCTCACTGTTTTATCACATTTTTATATTAATAGCCTTTTTTTCTGCCTTAAATACTTTCAATTCCAACCCTCCACTCTACTGCCAGAGTGATTTTTTAAGCACAAATCTCTCATTTTCTAATTAAATCTTTAAGTGTCTCCCAATCACCCAGAGCAGAATTCCTCAAACCCAAGTAGATAGCCAGGATTCTCTATTGTTAACTTAAAATATTTTCAGCATGTTAAATAAATGCAAACATAAAACTATATATGAACTCCTTATGTTTTATCTTTTTTATAACTGTTAAATAGTTATAAGTAAAATGCAGCAAAACTATAAAACAAATTCAAACGAATACTTATTCATTGTTACCAATGAGACTGTTTTTGCTGGGCCTAACACACTCTAAAAGTGAATGGGTACTGTCCTCTATGGCATAACTTCCTTATAGAAAGTCCTGTCCATACTGTCTTTGTGTCAGTGCCCTCACCTCTTTACTTAAACCACTGCAAAAACTTCCTGTGTTCAATGTGTCATGATTGCATTTGACCTTCACTTGACAACATCATTTACATAAAATAGTCCTCATTGCTCTCGTTAGCTTGTGCCAATGGCAAATGGTACCACTTGTTTGCCAGTGCACTCTAAACACAAATGTGTGAACTGAAATCTTGTGACAGTAATCACTTAAAAGGTGGTCATCCTGATGATCCAGAATATCCTTTTGTTAAAGAATTTTTTTTTTAGATTTTTATCAAATTGAAAATAAAAAGTTTGAGAGAAATCTCTTAGCCTTGAGGCTACATGTATGAATCCCTAGGGGTCTATATAGGTACCTATAGGACAAAATCAGAACCCCTTAGTGTAGTATACAGGGTACTGTGTTATCTACCTTTTGCCCACACTTCTAGCCTCATCTCTTTTCCATCCTTAGCATTGGCTCTGTGGTAGTGACTTGTTGCTCACTTGCTCAAGCCAATGTGCCTTTACATTTCAAATTTTTCTTTTATGGATCTCCCTTCCTCCTCTTCTCTTAATTATCTCAAGACTTATCCCAGGTATCACAACTCCAGTCTAACTCTTTTCCTGACCACTCCGCTTTAGTTACAACCTTGTCTCTTCTAACATGTCACCCCTCATACGTTGGTTGTGGCCCTATATTACAAATGTCATTTGTTGAAGGGCCCCTCATTTCTCCACAGATCTGCAGTGCTAACTCTTGTTGCGTATCAAGTTTACATTCCTAGATCTGTTTCTAGGCTCTGTTTTCTATTCCATTGTTATATTTTTTTCTGAACATGTGCTAATAACTGACCACTTTAATAGTAAGGCTTGAGAGCTGGTAGGGCAAGTCCTCTACCTTATTCCTTTTCTTTAGGAGCATGTTTCTTTTTTTACAATTAGCAGTTTTCAATGTATTTTCGAATCAGCTTAAGTTCCACAAAAAACCTTATTGGAATTTTGATTGATATAACATTAAATCTGTGTATCAGTTTGAAGAGACTGATTTATTTGTCGTGTGAAATTATCCTGTCTATGAAGACAGTATAACTCTCCATTTATTTAGACCTTTAATGTCTGTCAATGAAGTTTTATAATTTTTTTCTTAGAGGGTTTGTATATTTTGCAACTTCCTAAGTACATTATTATATTTTTGACCAGTGTTGTAAGTGGTGTATTTTTAAATTATATTTCCTAACTATATTTTTTGCTAGTCTATAAAAATTCAATTGTCTTTTTTTGTATAATGATCTTCAGAACCTTGCCAAACGTTATTTTTTTTAAATAGTAATAATTGCCATTTGTAGGGTTTAGGGGATTTTTCTATTTAGATAATCATGTCCTCAAAACTGTGACAGTTTTGTTACTTCCTTCTCAACTCTTTTACCTTTTATTTCTCTTTCTTTTCTTACTGTGCTATCCAGGACCTCTAGTTCATTTTGAATAGAGCCAGTGATAGTGGACGTCCTTATCTTATTCATGTTTATAAATGAAATACTTCTAATATTTTACCATTAAAGATGACACTAGGTTTTTGGTAGCTACTTTTTTATCAGGTTAATGAAATTCTCTTCCATCCCATATTTGCTAAAAGTCTTTGATTTGATTTTTAATCACGAATGGGTATTGAATTTAATCAACTTTCTCTGTATCTGCTGAGGTGATTATATAATTGTTTTCTTTTACTCATAATATGATGAACTATAGAAATATATTTTCTGATGTTAAACTAAACGAGTTTATTTAGATAAGTTTTTGTGATTTTTTTTTTTTAGTACATTGTGGGATTTGGGCAACTGCTGGCTTCTGTTCTCATTTAGCTTTCTGGACCTTTGCTAGCTTTTGGACTTCAGGATTTTCTCTTTCTTCCTTACTGGCTCAGTGGTGTATTTAAAAAGCTATATTTTTAAATGTATTTAACCAGCCTTTTGGGAATATTTATAGCAGAAAGGTTTTTGGCGATTGAGGTTCACCAAGTTATCAGAACTAGAATGCCACTTTTGTGTATTTTTAGTGTAATTGCTTCCGTTGATGTAAGACATGGCCACTTACCACCATTTCTGTCTTTTCTTCCTCTTGTCTCTATGCACAGCCATTTCTCTCCCTGCTGAAAACGAGGAAGCAGTGTTTTGTGGTAGAAAGAGCATTATACAAGGAGTCAAAAGGCACAAGTTATAGTGCTAGCACCACCACTTAGTGAGATCTTGACCAAGCCACTTATTCTGAGTTCCATTCAATTGTCTGCTAAGTGGAAACACTCAGGATTGAAGTGAGAATCACATGAGTTTATAAATGTGAACATGTTGTAAGGGGAAAGAATGAGAAGCAATTATGTCAGGTACATTGTTAGAAAAATGTAACAGAAACAGGGAATTTGTGGTTGAATGGTAGCACAGAGAATTTTTTTTAGGAAGGTGAAACTATTTTGTATGATTCTGTAATGAAAGATACATGACACTGCATTTGTTAAAACCCATAGAGCTTTACAGCACAAAGAGTAAACCTTAATGTATGCAAAATTTAAAAAATAATTAAGAAGAAGTGGGGATTCCAGGATGGAATGCAGACTGTGACAAAAGAATCTAACTACATTACAAATTTATGCAATAGCATCACTGAAAGTGGCCAGGGAAAAGGTGCTGACCTAAGTAACTTTGGAAACAAGACAGTAAGACAGCAATAGGACCTGTACATGTACACTGTAATCTAGTAGATAGTTTCCAGCAGAGGTATAGGTTAACAATCCTGAAACCACTATACATGTGTACTGGAATTGAACAATTAATAACTGCTTGGTGGATGATAAGGAACTAGGTTTCTTAATGTTGGAGTGGGAGGTTATAGTCAAGCAAGAGGGGAAGGCTAGAATGATCCATGTGATAATGGATTAGAGCTAGAAACATTAGTATGAAATCTAGTTTAGTTTACTATAGATACAGATGGATACCTAGAGATACATTTATAGATAAAGATATGTGTATAAAGATACGTGGTTTAGTATACACACATCTATTTCCTTGCTTTGTCAGTTGAGAGGACCTGGAAGCAACCTGGCAATAAGGAGCACACCCGGTGCCCAAACCATTCTCTAAT